CTACTACTACTACTACTACTAGTACGACGCTCGCCTGCTGCTACTGCTACTAACGCTGCTTCTAGTACTACTACTCCTGCTCCTGCTGCTGCTGCTGCTACTGCTGCTGCTGCTGCTACTGCTACTGCTGCTGCTCCTGCTCCTGCTCCTGCTCCTGCTGCTGCTGCTGCTCCTGCTGCTGCTCCTGCTACTGCTACTACTGCCACTACCACTACCACTACCACTACCACTACCACTACCACTACCACTACCACTACCACTACTACCACTACTACTACTACTACTACTACTACTACTCCTCCTATGCTTCCGTGGACAAAAGCGAGCCAACCAGCCGGGGGGCCAACATCCGCCGGATAAACAACCGCCTAGCTTGCGTTCTCCATGCCTCCGGCCCTCAAGTGAAATTGCGACTACCGAGTCATCCTGCTGAGGGCCGTCGAAAAAAAACACATGTCCAACATGGAACTGTCCAAGACCGTCTTCCCTCTGAGAACTGTGATACACAAAAATTTCATCGTCTTCCTTGTTGTGCGCGAACCCAAGCTGCTACTAGCTATTCGGCTGCTCATGTTTCTTGCAGTTTGGTTCGCTCCTCATCCGTCTGCAAAGTTGTGCAGATTTGTGCAGTCTGCAGGTTGGCACCGTTCTTCCGGCAACCAAACAACTATGCCGGGCGCTGAGACACCTGCCGTCACAGCCTTGGCAGGAAGCGCCGCAAAGGCGTTGTTGCAGGTGGAGTTGGTCTTCGATGAGCCGACACAGATCTCTTCAATAAAGTTCTGGAACTACTCCAGGATACGGCTCGACAATTACATACATGCATCTAGAAAGCAATCTCAGTCGCTTGCTCAGCAGCGGACAGCAGAAGTAAGTCCTTGGCTTTCTTAGTGCAGGACACCAGCGCGTGGTGTGCGTGATGTCGAAGTCTACGCAACCCGCATGCAAGCAACCAGCAGAAATACTCGACCTTCATCGTGCACCTTTGAGGTAGACGACTTGCTGATTTACCAGGGAATCCTGAGACAGGTTCGAAGCAGTGTTCTTGATGTCGTTTCAAGCTCCTTGTTCGCATGACGTGAACTACCGTGGTTTGAAGGCATCTGGTAGAGACGGAGGTCGTCGCTTGGAAAAACTGCATGCGAAGCTGCACACACAGAGAGGCTATGCCATTCGGTTGCAGGTGAGAGTGTCTTGTTCACGGACCAGCCAATGATCATCGAAAGGCCGGGGTAAAAGCTTGTGTAGGTGAGTGCTGAATCTAGCTCAGTTGAACCCTGATGGCAGGGAGCGCGCGTCCATTTACCAGCCAAGTGAAGGCCTTGTTAGCCTTGGTGACCAAAACCTGCATCAGTAGCGAGTGACTTCAATTCACGTTATCAGTGTTAGGTCCCGATGACCTGGTTACCTTTATCGATGAAAGTGAAAGCCTCAGAATTGAGAGGGCACCTACAGAACTCTTGCTTTGCAACGGCGTGTGGCTACAACGATGGGACATGCCACGCAAGCGCATTCTCGTCCCAGGTGGGCAATGGGATCGCATCGGGCATGCTTCAGGCTTTCGACTCTAGCAGACTCTAGCTTGGAGCTGACCTGTTGGCTCACCGATTCCCTGAGGTGCGCCTCTGGAACGACCCATGACGGCACTTACGGCCATCACGTAGTTCCGAGTGCCGAACGGTCAGTCTACAAAGTAGCAGCCGCCGCAGCATTCTGCCCAAGTCCATGGCTTGGCCTGCCTGTACATATTTCTGCTGAAAGCAGCTGGGCTTCAACAGAGTCTTGTCCGCTGCATCGCTTGGAAAACAGCTTCGCTTGCCCGCAACATGCTGCGCTCCAAAACGTGCGAGGCAGACATCTTGGACATCACTCTGAGAATGTGTTTGGGTGATTTTCCAGATATGCTTACTGTAGATGCGTAGATCAGCAGGGCAATGGCACGCTGCTGTACCTTTGTAGCAGAGGCCTTGGCAGGCTTCAGCCACAGCGTGTTTCTTTCTCTTGCCGTGAAGGTTGATTGGCCCCATGTATCGCGGCCTCTTTGTGACAGCACCTGCTGCTCGGACGGCAAGCCAGTAGCTCTTTCACAGTTTGGCCCTCAACGACGCTGAGGTGGTTGGCGCTTATGATTTGGTCTGTTGGCCATGGGGTGCGGATGTGTCTCTCAACACCAGGCGTGCCAGCGTTGTCGCAGTGTTCAACGGTGAACAGCTGTCTCAGAGTGAGCGCACGTCCTGGTGACCTAGCGCCGGAGCGGAGCACAGGTGGGAATTCCTGGTGGCGGACCTCGCCAGTTTCTGTACACGGCCACAGACAAGGCCTACTTTGAGTCGGTCAGAAGCTTTGGAGACGTGCTCCCTTTGGAGACGTGCTCCTGCCACCAGGAGTTTGTTCGCACTCTGGACAAAGAGGAGCTCAAGGACTGTTCAAGCACGACCAGGTCTAAGTAGGACTCAGCATTTTATACATGATGTATCTCTTGGTGAGGCCCAAGAACAGAAAGGGCTTTTCATCTGTTGTTGAAACCAAACTCAGAAAGGTGCAACGTTGGCATCCAAGACCAGACGTTGCAACGGTGCCGTCGCGACAAGATTCTGACAAGATGGTTCAAGATTTCAACGGAGTTTGGATAAGAAGGGATTATAAAGATCCTATAGGAGATGCACAACCCGCGGATGAATCTGCAGCAGTTGCGCCGTGCACTTGATGCCACGAGTCCGTCCAGAACCGGCATACCTCATTTGTGCAGGTGGCTGGGTTTTGTCTCAGCCTGGGGATCCCCAACTTACAGGACACCTTGCCCCGCACCACTATGGAACCATTCCGCCAACTCGGCGCCCAAAATCAAAATCTCAACCCAAAGTTCCAGAAATCCTATTCCCAAAATCCCCGTTACCCTTCAGCACAAAATCTCGGGAAAAATCATATGCCCAAATCCCCGTTACTCCTCAGCCCAATTTCCCATCCCAAAAAACCAATATCCAAAACCTTTAATGCACGTCACCCTAAGCAACAAGCCTAGCTGGGGCAAGGTGTCTTTAATGGAATCCATTATACTATATTATACTAATTATGACCATATTAAATTACATTTTATGCATTGTTTTTATACAGAATTTTGGATTATCATTTCATTTAACAACCGTGTTGTTTCTAAACATCCGAAAGATAGACTATCGCTGTCTCTTTTTATATCATCTGTTAAATCGTATATAATTGTCGGTTAACTATGTTATACCATTTGGTAACAATTAAAATAACCGCGTAAAGTATATTTGGAATAATTCTTTTTCTCCTGATGCCATTTATAGAAGTCCAATTTACCAATGTTCCCATACATCCCATACATTGTTGTCACTCCACTGTGTACTTCAAGCGTATATCTATCTTTAAGAACATCTTGCTGCATAATTTCATGGACTTCAGAAAATTCTGGGTATTCGTATACTTTAGTAAAAGGGCAAATGTAAACATGAAATAAGTTTCTTCACTTACAGCATTTATCACAACAATAGTAATCCACAATCTTGTTTTTAAAGTTATGTAAAGCATCGCTTTTATCTATTGGATTTTTGTATGTTCTTAACTGGTGTACATATATCATATCTCACAATTATTGAAAGAATTAAACTTTCGTATCTCCCTGTAAAATGCATTTGTTTCATCTTCACTCTCGCTTTCAATTTCACTCTCATACTCACTCTCACTCATTTACTGACATACTAACGCCAATAAGCTTTAAGACGTTTTGCATTGTGTTATCTCGCGATACAAACCATGGCAAATACACGTTGAAAGGTATACCGTGTTATACACTTAATCATGGGAAGTGCGGTGCCCACCCAACAAAAACACAGCCTTTGATGAACCACCCTGCTAAGACACAAAATCCTAAACCTCTCCGTGTTCATCCTAAACATGTTGCAGGAGAACGTATTTTTACAGTTAATAAGGTTGAACAACATAGAGATTGTCAATACATACGTTGTAAATGATGAAGCTTATAAAGATATATGGGGCAATGTGATAAATATTTATTTCATGGACCTAATAGTTATACGCAATGATATTTAAGAACATAGAAACCAACAAGAAAACCCACTGCAAACGAATATTAAAATAAATGGTATGTATTCACAACCGTTCTCGGCAATCTTGAAGAAACAATAGCCATTTACAAACTCAGCGACTTGTCTTACTCATTCCTTGCTTTCTGCGGGTGTTACGTATAAATTGACATTCTTCTTCTTCCTTATTAAATTAAATTTCATTAAATTAAATCTCATAGTATTTCAAGGTATATTTTTGGCGGCTTGTGTTTCGCCTTTATTCAGCCTCTCCATGAAAGTGTTCCTCTTCTTTTCCCAATCGCTTTTAACGACTGGTGTCGATGATGTGCTCGTTTCATAAGTATTCAGTTTCTTAACGTTATCCTTCATGGATTGTTGAACAATTCCCAAAATCTCATTTTTTCCTTGTGTCACATTGTACTTGCTACAGCAGTTTTATACATCTCTTCCGTGCTTACCTTACCGTCGGTCATATACATTGCTACATATTCTGCCCTTTAAGTCCGTGTAAACTCCTCAATAATTTTATGGCTCAAAGGTTCCTTTATGTGTTGTATGCACCATCCTTGCGGCTTCAAATGTGCAGTTATGTTTTGCATGTGTGCTTCGTTCTGTGGTTCTTAAATTAATTTGAGCCCAAGTGAATTAATCAATTTGAGCCCAAATGAATTTAAATGGTTCGGGTTCATGTTTCAATAATGTTTGTTCCCATCCTAAACTCGTCCAAAAGTCTAAATCAATCCCTGCAACAATAATCGAATTTTTCAGCTTCTTTTATTCTCATTCGATTCTGGTAAATGTTTAGAGTTTAGATGTTTTCCCGTCTATATTATAACCCGTTAAATGTTTTTTCCGACATCTAGCGCATGTTTTACATGTTTTCCGTAACAACCAATAGATTAAGATTTAGGAACAGAACAACGGCAAACATTGCAAAGCGTCTTGACTATATGCTGCATGAACTTCCTTTTAATTAAACGCTACGATATTAACCATATTATTAATCAAAAGAATCCATGGGGAAAGCTCGTTTAGAGCCTCGCGAGCTTCGCGAAAAAATAATTAAGCACCTGTTTATGGGATGCTATTGAATGTTCAGTCACTACTTCCTTTGCGTGAGCCCATCCATTGTGAAACAGAGGGCGTAGGGGTGCTGTCGGGCTTAATATGGAGTTTTAAGCCCGATGGCTGGTTGTATAACTACAACCTACCTGTCGCTATTAATAATATACAAATAAATGTGTAAGTGTTAATGCATACTGTTTAATCCTAAGTTTTTTTACTAGCGGGTTCACCTTCGGGGGTGGTTTTTGCTTTTGTTTACGTGCCTTTGCATGCCCCTCTCCTTCAGCACTGCTTTTCCCTCACTTGGAAAACGCCGTCATTCGCGAGGATTTTGCCTTCTTGCATATGTTGCGGTCTTCGTAGCCGAGGGTGCTGTCGCATTTCCGCTTTGATTGTTTCTTGCACCAAAACTGACGTGACGTCACATTTTTGGTTGCGACTTCGTCCGAGGCTCCAAAAACGTGGCCTGCGTGCTATATTCTTGACTACCTGAAACCATGTTTTTTGCCATCCCGCGCTTTGCGCTTTCTGCGTTTTTCTATTTGTGCCGTTTTCCGTGATGTGCTCTGCATGATCTTTTGGGGGGGGGGGGAAGGTGTGGGGGTGGAGGCGGGCGGGGCTTAATGACGTTCTGTTTCATGGGCAGCCTTACCTTAGGCTGCAATCCTAAACTCAACCACAAAAAACGACGAACGCGTAAGGGACGAAACGACACCAGGAGGAGGACGTGGCCGCAGGCACACGTACCCTCCCCCTGCTGAGCCAACCTACGAGAGGGCGAAGGGTTGAGGACGACTAGGGGCTTAGGGTTGTGGCCCCCAGGCGAAGCTTTTACAGACGAGTTTGGCACACGTCTTCATTCTGGCGCACCGTTCTGCAGACGATCCTAAACAGAGTGACCTAGCTACACACTTGATCGCATCAGCTTGAAAACTGCGTATGTAGTCCAACATATGGACTCTTCCCCGCATCCGCTCTCTGCCTTCTTCGGCAATTGTTTCGAGGAATAAACACATTCTGCGTGAAAACAACTCACTGCTGCGACCTGGGCCAGGCTTCCTGGCCTGCAACGGCTCTATCCCATCCTGCCCTGTCGCAGACAACTGGAGATTTTGCATAACCGTTACACACACCATCGTCGTAGCAATCGCAGAAGCCGTTACAAGACTAAGCGCGGCATGCGACAGCACTAGTAGTACCCCAGAATCGGCAGAACCCGCACAACATCAAACACCACGTGCATAGCATACACCACCGTAATGGAAATCACAAGAGCAACAAGTCATAACCACACAGAACAAGGTCATTACAAATACTACTATCCAAGACTCCAAGACCCTTACAAATGACAGTTTTCCCAATAATTACCTCAAACCACCGATCCCCGAAAAAATCGAAACAACACCACCCCTCTACTTCTCTTTCCACTGAGACTATTCTTTGTTCTGGCGTTGGTTTTCGTGAGCCGAACCCTGTACCTACCGTATCAACATCTTCATTATCTTTCATATTTGTTTTGAAAATAGCGTTTCCATCGGTCGTAGTATTCCTACCGTTGCCAATTTTCCAACTTGTAGCAGGAGCAAGAAGCGCTGTTATGAGCCTAATATAATCATACAGCCTATTCAATAACATATGCTACGATTGTGGCGTCTGCTGCTGATATTTTCGTTCTATACCTTACATCATTTTAGACTTTCTCCTGTGGATGCACTTGTTGCTTGTTCTCGTCATTGCCTTCTATGGTTGTTTTTACACTTCTGTTTGATGAAGCGTTTGAATAACCACTTGGTTCATTTAATATATCGGTTTGTGTTGCTCTTTGCTGAAAGCAAAATCATGAAAAATCTACTTCGTCTAGTAATATCCCTTGTTGTGTTCTCCTTTGTCGTTCTGGTAGTTTTTTTTTTAACTGCTTGTCCTCGCTTCTCGATTTAGCAACAATGGATTTAACGTAGGACGAAAGAATCATTGTACAGGTCAAGGAATTGTAGGACTCGTCAGAGCGGGAGCCTCGCGAGCTTTGCAGAAGCTTCGCGAGCTTTGGCATAAATAGGGCAGGTGATGCTTATGATTGGTCAAAAGATGATGAAGAACCAGAGCCACCCTTTGCTGGCAAACGCACAGATTGATGAGAAGAGGAGCATCGAGAAGCAGAAGCCCAGAAAGAAAGACCAAGTGGAAGCAATGGGGGTTGAAGACACTTGATGCTTTGCTTATGAACGAGCCACACCATTGGCAAAGGTTTGAGCTTGATGTCTCGGTGGTTGGGGTTGTATATCTTTGTAGGTTTCGCGGCGGGCTTCCCTTGGTGAAGATAGGTAGTCTCTTGAGTGAAGGTACCGGCCGGTCTTGGTTCAAGATAGGGGGCTTCTTGAGTCAAGTTATGGGGTCTCTTGATTCAAGATAAGGGGCCTCCTCTGCCTAGGCATCACTACGTTTTCATTAAAGACACCTAGCCCCAGTAGGCTTCTTGCTATTCATAGGTTTAGGGTTTAGTTGAAATCATGCCCATTAGGCCTAGTGTTACTCATAGGTCTATGGTTTAGGTTCAAGTGCCTTAGAGGTTTTGGATATTGGTTTTTGGGACTGGGATTTTGGGCTGAGGAATAACGAGGACTTATGTTTAACGCTACATCGGGAATTTGGGAATATGGTTTCGGGATTTTTGGGTTGATATTTGGGTGGTGTGGGGGGGGCGAGGTGTCCTGTAAGTCCCGAGCCCCATCACTCTAAAGACCTGCGCGGGCTGTCGAATTTATCCATCCTCGCAACAGCTGACGAGACGAGCACTTTGCCCACCTGCTGGAAGGAAAAGAATTTGCTGCTGACTTACTTCCGGCTGGACCACGAGGCATTTGCATGATTTGCAAGCACTGCCCATGCTGTCATCACATTTCCTGAAAGAAGATAGTTCGAGCAATTATAGTCTTCCTCCGTGGAATCGGGACCTGAGCAGATTGTCAGGGACATTTCGTTGTCACAGACGGATTTCGCGACCTTGTTCGCCGAAAAGGCGTACCAACGAGGCCAGACCTAGTGCATTGGACACCGTTGCACATTTGCTACACAGAGCTAACACAAGGTATCGATGGCGAGCCTGGCGGGCACTCACAGGAGTCTTGCTGGAAGTTCTGCGATTTCCTTGCTTCAGAAAGGGTGAGTTTCAAGCAGGATGGACTGCCCTTGCAAAGCCAGGCTGGTACGAGAGGACTGCCAGAATCGTTTGTTAGACAAGGTGTTGTGGTTCCACTACTGCCGCCGACTCCGAAGGGGACTTAAGATCTTGCGGAGTTCCGATGGTGCTACCTGTAGCGGGTTCGGGATGAGACCACATTATGTGAGACTGCGACATGTCTGAGACTAGGCAAGAGGCAAGGGTATAGAGGTTCCGTTCACCAACAAGGGCACGCTGACTACGCCTGGGCAGTAGCACCAGCACAAACTTCAGGACTTCAAACCGCGATATCGAGTAAAGCAAGGAGGCATCTTGCGGCCAAAGCGACTCAGGCGGCAGGTAAACCAAATCGACCTACACACGATGGCCAAGAGTCAGTTGCTCACGGCGTAGTAGTATCCGCTGTCTTTGCTCGCCCTTGCGGCTTGCTGACCCGACTGCAAGAGCTCGTGCACGCGTACAGTCTGACACGCTGCAGGTTCGAGCCAGTCCTGTTATTCGAGGGGAGGAGTAGAGCCAAGCGCATGCGCTGTACTTTGGCTCTGCCTGCTTCTCAAAGGGATGTCCAATGATGATGTTGATGTCCGAATCAGGAGTGCTTGCCTTCATAGGGATCTGTGGATCCAGTGCGAGCAGTTGAAGATGACTGAGGAAGCATAGCGAGACGCATAGCCACCGAATGCTCCGCTTGTTTTTTCGATTTTTTAACACCGCAGTCTGGTAACAAGGACCAGCCTGCAATCAGCAAGGCAAGCACTGTGTGGCTTGATTTTTGCGTCGGCACGAGAAATGTCGTTTCCCCTCTCTCACCCGAATCTTCGAGTTGGTTCCGTTGGGCATGAGCTGTTTAGTCGGACCAAAATCTGAGTCAGATGCCTGGAAGGATCATGCGCAAGGCTCCGGACAGCAAGACGGTGGAAGCCATCGAAAAAGACCTCGACAGGATTTGCGCCCTGACAAATGCTCGAGGCTTTGAAACAATGGACTTGACAGTGAAGGACCTTTCCCGGCATAGAAGATTTCGACGACAGGAAGAAGCGAGAACTTGCCACTTGGATCGTTAGGTAGCAGCTGGGCAGTCTGGCAGTTCCCGTACATGCACACAGATTTCCAACCAACATTGAAAGGCAAACATGCTCCGAGCACATGCAGGTCTTTTTCCCAGCGTAGGGCCCTCAAGTGGCCATGGACCAGACTAGTCTGACTGGTCAACATGTGCCCCTTCAGCGGATTTCAGACGCGCTTTGTTTGTGCTTCCTGCAGGTGGGCTATTGCCAAGGCATGAACTTCGTTGCCGGCTTTCTGCTACTTGTCGCTGGAAGAGTTCCAGATGCTCCAAAGGCTGCAGTGCGTCACACGCCTTATGCAACAGCTGAAAATTACACTGCAAGAGCCTCGCCAGGATGCATTTTTCCTGCTCGTGCAAATGATGATCAAGTGTTCCGCGGATTTGTTCTGCCCGCGTCAGAGCCGGCTGCTTTAGGTACCGGGCAAACCTCTTGTTTTGCGATGGTCTTCCGCTTCTGAAGCTTCATACGCCTCTTCGGCATTTTTGTGCACCTCATGCCTTCAGCTGAGAGATGCACCTGCGCTCCTCTGTGCTGAAGCATGGCTCTATGCAAGACCTCAAATCGTCACTATTTTCGTTCTTTTTCTTTGACACATTCGCCAGATTTCAGTACCGCATCCTGCTGCAGCGGCTTTTTCCAGATGCCGACATCTCAGCGTTGTTTCCGCCATCGTACCGAAGTATACATGACCAAACATCTCGTCTTGGCTTCCTCATTTCGGGACAGAGGTCCACCGACATTTCTTGGAAAATCAAATTACGCCTGAGCTCTACTTGACCAAGCCAGTCGCCCAGCAGTGCAGATCCGCTTTGTGTTGTACTTGTAAGATCTGTCATTGCTGTGCAACTTCCAGCAACGGCCGTCTGTGACTTTGGCTCGAGTTTTGGTCGGCACGCATGAAACGGCTGGAGCTTGACGCATCTTGGCATCGCGAGGCCTTATGCCCGCGCCCCCCATGCTTGTTTTTTGTGCGGGTGACGTGTGCGTGTGTGTGTGTGTCTCTCTTTCTATACACACATACATATATCATACATGTCTGCCTATATCTGTATCTAGATATCTATCTGTATCTATGTCTATTTCTAGATCCAGAGCCATGTCTATGTCTCTGCGAGTGTAATTTCATATTGTGATGTGTGCATTGGGTACAGTCTGTGTGTCTGTGCAGTTGTAAATGCCTTCCAGAAGCATGTTCGACGTTCAGGTTGCCAGCACAGGCGCACGACACTTGCGGCCTAACGTGTGCGATGAAGCTGCGCGCGTAAGTGGGAAGGGGAGGCTTGCTTCCCTGCACGTGCTTCTTCCGCACAGCACGAGACGAGGCCATGCTCAGAACGCTGGTGCGGCTCGGAATCCTGCAATCTAGTCATGTTGGGCAATTGGTGAGTTAACCGCCTGCGGGGCTAAATGTCTTCGCCTCTGGAAAGCAGGAGCCAATGACAATGAGAAGAGCATGCCAGAACAAGTATATATATATATAGAGTGTGTGTGTGTGTGTCTAGGCGGAAAACTGTGCTGACAAGTACATGATCCCGATGCGAGAAAGCAGACCGTTCATACTTATTCATCGCACGGGCATGCGCCTCAATTCTAGCGCAGGGGCAAAGCTACTTGTTGCAGTGAGGTATGCGACATCGTCATCCTGTATGCTGTGGTACATCATGGTACGTGATGGTACATACCCACTCTCACTCGCTATCGAATCACACTACGAATCGGAGGTGATATGCTTTGCTGTCCACCCCGCCGGAGAGTGCGACGTTTTCCGAAGGCATCACCAGAAGAAGCCCAGAACCCGAAGAAGCCCGAACACCCCAAGGAATCAAGCCAGCGCCTAACCCGACGGGAGTGAGGATTGAGCCCAACCAAACTGTAACCGAACCCTAACTAAACAGGAGGCTAAAAGCCATGAGGACTGAACCCTACTCACCCCCCTCAGAGCAAACCGGAAAGGCTGGAAAAGGACTGCTTTCTTTCCGATACGAGCAATGAAAGACACATGCGACATCGGAAGCCAAGACACAGGCGACACCAGGACAAAGCTAAATGGTGTTGACTTGAAGGCTTTCATGATAGCCAATAATCGACCCCGAAACATGCACCATGCAATCCTCAGCAAATTTAATGGTGTGACGGTCCTTAACTTCGCATATGGCAATTCCCTTTACGACTTCGCTTCGCCAATGACGATGTTGACATCATGTCTACATATACATTGGATGGCACGCGTCATCACCGCGCACGGTAATCCGAATTCGCTGACCACACAAACTTAAGGTGTCTGTGGGGGGGGGGGGGCGGCGGGGGGGGATGCATTTGTTACCAAGGCTTTAAGACGCAATTACATTGTCTTGTGGTCTTATTTTGTCACAATAGTTCTTGTGAGGATTCTGTTTCCTCCTGCAGCTAACCGTGCGACAACTTATCAGAAAGACAACGACAAAGTGACAAAGTGATAGGTTGTGTTTCGAGATCGCATTCGGAACTTGGCAACCTATTCTGCCTATTCTCATCTGGAGATCTGACGCAGCAGCACGAAGCGCGGCGGCTCGGCGGCTCCGTATGTAACATCTTCCGAAACGCGACACTTTACGACCCCCAGTTGCTACACCTATCTCTGAGTGGTACCCGCACCTTAAGGGATTCGAGGTTCTAAGGATTCTAAGGCTTTCGAAGGGCTTCAGGTTTAGGGTCCATGGTGTCGTGCTTGGGAAACTCTTGTGGGATCCAGGGGCTTACGGTTCAGGGTTTCGGATTTAGGTTTTGGGTTGAGGTTCAGGTCAGGGTTTGTGGCGTTTAGTGTTTTGGGCGTTGATAGCCTTCGGGTTGAGGGTTGAGTTTGTCGTGTTTTTGTCACTGTGTTTTTGGCAGGTTCAACGCTTTTAGATAAGCACGTGTGCACCGGTTTCAACATTTAGGGTGTTTAGGATAAGTTTTGGGATTCAGGGCTTTTGGGTTTAAGGCTTAGGGCTTTAGGGCTTAAGGTTCAGGGTCCAGGAGGCTTCAGAGTTCAGTGTCTGTACGATTCTGTACGACTCAAAATTTAGGGTTTGGGTTTGGGGTTTCGGTGTGTTGTCAGGGTGCTGGCGGTTTTGAATATTTTAGGTGCCGAGAACATTCAATTTTGTGATTTGACAGGGAGGGTTTGGGACTGTTTAGGGTTTGGATATCTTTTGGGGCTTTCAGGGTTCAGGGTTTCGGAGATAAGGTCTACGGTTTAGGTTCATGTTTGGCGTCTCGGGCTTTGGGCGTTTAGGGTTTGGGTGACCCCGGACCTGCCCCGGTTGCAGCGTAGGACAAGGAAGGTGCTATGCAAAATGGAAGGTGTTAAGCGATCGTAACAGAACACAGCGTGTGTCAGCCTTTCGAAAACGCTCATGGGCTGTCAGCATGCATGGAGCTTGAAGATGAGGTCGGAGTCCTCTGGGGTGCTGCTTGAAGCTAACTCAAACAAGCAGCAATTGCCAGATAAGGCAGCGCGAATTTCATGCCATGTAGCGATCCGGCACATCAGATCTATGCTGTTTGCTCATTGAATAGTAGCGGTGTGTGCAACACTGCTTAGCATTGTCATGCCTTGTCCGCTGTGCAACGATGATTGGTTGTCGTCAGCGGTGAAGCAGTCAATCATCTTGAGTTGCAACATTGACAAGAGGCATGATAGGGCATGCGCACGCGATGTGTGAGACCAACGTGAAAACATGCCTAATGTCACCCGTTTCGCCTGATGCAGTGTCCGGGACTTGCGCATTGTCGCCAGCAAGTGGTGCAGAGTGCTTGTGCAGCGCCATGTATTTATTCAGAATTGTGGAGTCAGCGGTAATTTTGCGGGGATGCATGTCGCAACGACCGAGAAATTTCGTGCGTGTTAAAGTGTGTGTGTGTGCCTGCGAGACAGGGCGTAACTGTTTGGCAGCTCGAGCCAAGCAGGCTTGCAGCCGTCCATGGCATCCAGATCAAGTGTTCTCCTTTTATCTGCCTCAGTTGCATGGGCTGCGTGCCCCAATGCGACTTGCATGCTATAGCACATCTTTTGGGTCAGTTCTTGTCGTTGGTGGACACCTTGAACTTCTAGTTGTGGTGTTATGATGTTGCTATTATTGCTGTCTCGATTCGGTGACCAGGGCGGTGTGGAGAATCACGGGCGCTGCTGGTATCTAGGAGCTGAAGGTGCAACATGCGGCCAGACTTGCGCTGCACAGGCAGGGTTTCGGTTTTCCGCTGCCCAAACTTTCGAAGTTGTCCTTCGTTTTCTGTTAGCATCAATAGCAGCCTTGCCAGGGGCTAGCTTATGACCATTTCGTGGCAGCAGATGCCACGCCGATGGTGCCCTCTCTTTTGGGGCGAGCCCCACGAACAAAGCAGAATCTTGTCGTGAATAGCCTGTGAGTGTGCTCGCGCGCTGTTTGAGATCCTGTTCCTTGAGTTGGTTGTGAACCGCAAACAGGTTTCCATGGGGGAGAATCGAATGCTACGCTGCTTGCCTCATATGTCTGACCCATGGACCCGCCATGGACACAGGTCAGCCTCAAAGATCCAATTTTGACATCGACCCTTTCAGGTTCCCAGTGCTGACCGCTATCACACGGCCAAGCCCACGCAGAGCGCTGACACTGGTGATAATGGAGCTCCGCAGGACTGGTCTGCGCCGTGGCGGCAAGGTGTTTGCATGCTGTCTTCCACTGTCTTCATCCGTATTTATCAATCCAATGTTCGTCCAGACGCCGCCAGACCTCGTTTGTGGAAGATTGCGCCATGCTTTGAGGTGAGCATATGTCGCCTGATGCTCAGTCTTGGTGCGGACGCATCACAGCTTTAAGGTAGATGGCGAGGCCACATCAGCCTAAAGATAAGCTTGCTCTCCTTGTGGTTGTGGGTGTCAAGCAAGGCCTTTCCTGCGCCTGTGCGGGAAGTTCTGCAGCTGCAGTTGGCTTTCCGGGTTGTATGCAGCCGAGCGTGGTTCTGCGACATGCCGGCGCGCATGTGACTCGACCGCAATTTAAAGTTCAGACTAACTGTGTCGCATAGGCAGGACTGTTCAACATGAGAACGTTGTAAAGGCAGACGCGTGCCTGGAAGGTTTAGCTGTTTCATCCGCTCAAAAGTAGTTGGTGGAGTGAAACTTTAGATTATCGTCTGTTGAGAGCAAAGACAAGATCAAGAAGATTTGTGACGGCATCTTTCTGCTAGCAGCAAATCGCAGCAAGATCAAACAAACTGTAGACGTGATGCAGCTGGCACAGACCAGCGGCAAGATGCAACGCGTCCATCCACTTCGAAAGGCCAGCTTTCTTAGTGTAGTCATCAGTGGTGCTTGAGAAGAGCGGCAGCTGAAAGTCTCCACGACAGTATCACATCAACATGACAAGTCACTGCTCCCGAGTCAGGGAAAGAACTACACGAAGCCAGAAGCAGCGAAAGTGGGAAGTGTCCGATTTCTCTTTGCTGAAGCTTCGCAGCTGGACCCCTAAAGCACATAGATTGCAGGCCGTTTAGCCCAGTTTGCATGTGTGGAGAGCCTGCACCATGGTAGAGCTATGCAAGATCATAAACTGCTTTTCATGGATGGCAGCAACATGGTGTAGGTTCGCCCTCTGGCTAAAAAAATGCACGAGGTTTGTTACATTCAGAGTGCCAACTGGAAGTAAACTGGCTTGCATCGTGATTCGCTGAGCTTTAACTTGAACCCGCGAATGTTCACTAGTGCAGTGGCCAATCACTCTCCCTGTGCTACGACGTGGCATGCACAGGTGGTGCTCATTTAATTCCAGACAGAGCATGATGTCCAGGCAATCTTTGCCGATGTTAGCGTGTTTGGAGCAGCAGGTGGGCAGGATCAGCATTGCTGCAAATTGCCTATCTTTTGGCGGGCGACCATGATCTTTCAGCGCAGTCGCCAGGCTGTTGGCAGAACGACTGCAAGAACTCCGACAAGTTTATCGCCGACTCTCCGGTCCTTTGTGCACGCACATGTTCTGAGCTGGGCGACTGCACACATTGGACGTTGCCCAGCCGCACTTCAAGCTTTGCTGCGCGTGTGGAACGGGGTCCTGCTTTGTGGACCCGTTGGCCCGGTTGGCCCTGGTCCCGTAGTCTTCCCGTTCCGCATTCCTGTGGTCTTGCAGTCCTCCAGAAACAGAAACGAAACAAACCGCCACCGCATGTGAAGGCAGATAACCACGAGAACAGCTTCAATTGGGGTGTATGCAGGCTGAGGACGACAAAAGACTCTCTACAATTTGCAGAGTTTGCAGCCAAAGCCCTGGAATTCATCAGGTTACTTGGCATCAAACCCGTGCACGGCGGTGATGCGAAACAAAAACACCAGTGCCCTGAATACCTCTAGCCATAGGCATACTGCAACATGCTCCAAGTTCCAGATTGTTCGAGCATGTGCAGCCTGACAATAGCCAGATTTGCGGGAGCCTGACAATCCAAAGAAATTCAGTGAATGCAGAAATACTGAAGTGACACCACCTCTGGAGCTTGGGAACGCCAACGTGTTGCAGCATGTAGGGCCCGATATGAGAACGAAAGCAAGACAAGGCACATGCAGCCCTGAGAACAAGCTGGAATCCTGGCGCACTCCAAATTCCACCGCTGCAGTCTGGGAAACCCAAGACACGAGAAAATGCTGCAATAGACAGCACTTGGAGCATGGTAGCAACCAGTTCTCAAAGCATTTGCATATCAATAGCATTCAAAGGCGCCACAAGTTGCATGGGGTTCACGGCAGTCGGAGCCAGTCAAGGGTTTCTAAGCTTGCCAAAGCATCATCCAACGGTTGGAGAACAAAAGCACCCCCGCCGTGCACAACGTGCAAAGGAGTGCCGTGACATTCTGGGTAGAGTCCCGTGTAGAGTTTGTCCCAAGATGCTTGCCCCCTGTCCGAGTTTTGCGTGTTTCCGGCACAGGAGATGTGGATACGAGGATTGAATAGGATTGATATATCACTCGGTGCCTTAGGTTCTGCATGAAAAGGTTTAAATTGAAACGCTACGTGTCAGCGAAAGTTTTGCGATGGGTCCGCGACAGGAAAGAAATGCTCCGCGAAAGTTTGTACGGGACACACTCGAGGCCTATGAGGCTTGCAGGTATACAGTGTTTGCATGGAACATGCCACTTGGCTGACGCCTTACAGGACCGAATGCAAGTGGAGTTGTATACCCAGCCTCAGAGTGTGTCAGTTTTGTGAAGACCCTACTCGGCTTGTCCACGAAAGACTGCATCGTCACCGCAAAAGACGGACAGACTGCTTCAATGCCATGACCTACAATTGGGAAACGCGCATTGCGAGTCATTCCACCCGCAAACAACAATCCCAAACTCCAACTCTCTTCCCTCCTCCTCCTCCTCCTACTCCTACTCCTACTCCTACTCCTACTCCTACTCCTACTCCTACTACTACTACTACTACTACTACTACTACTAGTACTAGTACTATTACTACTATTACTACTAATACTACTACTACTACTACTACTACTACTACTACTACTATTACTACTAGTAGTAGTAGTAGTAGTAGTAGTAGTAGTAGTACTACACCTACCACTCCTACAACAACTGCTCCTCCTCCTCGTCCTCCTCTTACTGCTGCTACTACTGCGACCTCGGCTGTGGCTATGGCCGATGACGACTACTACTGCTACTCCAGCAGCTTACAAACATGGGGCGAAAGACCAAAACCACAATGACTTAGCTTGATTTGCTCTGAAGGTTTTGCGCCACGAGAAGTGGCTGAGCATGCGCACGATTCTGCAGGATGGAGGATCCGAGCCCACGAGCCAGGAGGGCCCATGATGCCCGATGCACACACGCACGAGAAATCCGTCAACGCACAAGAACTGTTTTCCATCTCCACACGCCTTTACGGGCATGCAAAAACGAGTTCGATCGTAAGACCAAGATGCTCCTTTCCACATGTGTCAGATGGCTGCACACTCATGATCAGTCTTTCCGAGAGCCGTCCAAGGTTTGGTGAACAGGACGGCCGGACCCCCAAGGGTGCATGTCGGGTAGATGCTTGACCCTCGGACGTCTTCACATTTCGTGGTGCAACTCGAAGGTGCACAGAAGTGCTTCTTTCGCAAATCGGATGGTGGTCGTGAAGTCCTTGAAGGTTGGTCCTCAGGCACAGCCTCGGCAAATAGCTTCGAGTCTACTGACATTCAGAACTTATGCAGAAGTTAGCTGCGTCCTCTCGGTTCGACTGTGCGGTTGGTTGGGTTGAGATGTTGTGAGCAGACATGCCACAGTACTCGTGAGTAATTAACTTGCTGTGGAGAAATACATGCAGGGCAGGCCGCATTGGTGCCAGGCACAAAGGCATGTGCTCCACCCTCTCTTCCTGAAGCTTTCCAGGTTGGGGAGTCTTGTTCTGCAATGCTGTTCCTGCTGGAACTTCGGCTTGCACATTGCTGCTGCAGGCGTTGAAGGCGGCAGACTTGTTGAAGCGCTGCGATGCAGCACAGATGCAGTTCTGCCAGACACGTTTCGTAAGCCATAGCTGATATCTCCGAGGCTGGCCTGTCTGATGCATGTCCGGACATGGCAAAAGCCGTGAACACATGGCAGTTTGCCATCAGAAATCTGAAGAAGGTGGGTGGTTGCAAAAGTTTGCAGTTCAATGATCCGAGACGATTGTTGGCCTTCTGACTCTGACAATGTGCGTTGAAGGCTGCTGGATCCAAGCTAGATGCAGGGACCCTTCAGTATGTCAATCAAATCGAGGTGCGCGAGCATGTGTATCAGTCATCGAGCGAGCGAGTGATGAAAGTGAGAGAGGCAAAAGAAGAAGACAGCAACATAAAACGAACGAGAGCCTGCAGCTTCCACAGCTCCCCTACTGTGAAGTCGCGAGCCTACTCCTCAGAGTGACGCGTGGTGTTGCTGGTTTGAGCGTTACTTTCGAGCGCAAGAGCGGCCACAGCATGTGAGTCTGTGCTGAAGCGGGGACCAGTTGGGCTCAGCAGCTAGGCCCCAGTTAGGTGCTCAGTTGTCAGTCAGTTGCGGGTACGGGCACGGCCTCGAGGAGATCCTGATGAACCACGACGGTGGGGAGCACGCCACTATGGACGCCGCCACGCTTCAGGTGGACTTGCCTCGCTGCCAAGAGCACCTCCAGGGGGACATGAGAAGGAGCTGCCGTCCCAGAACGCAAACTCAAGCTCGCTGGACCTCGCCGAAAGCTACGGCACTGAACTTGGTCTTACACAAGCTGCCGGGACGATGCCAGCAACATGGAACAGGATGCTTAGGGGGGCACTCGACCACATGCAGCCCCAAAGCCGTGACCCCTGCGCACGGCAGCTTTTCTTCCTGCGGTTGCATTACCCGCCGCCACGACGAAACACCCCACAGCGGGATGACATGGCGGCCCGGCTGCTCGACTGCCTGGAGACCGCCTACCCGCCTACCCAGGACGAGTACATCTACGGCATGGATATTCGCAACCCCTGGCCCAGACCCAGAACTGGAGCAACGCAGGATGAACAGCCTCAACCAGCGGGATGCCGGGAACTTCTTGCAGACCTACGTGCAGGGGACTAGCCACTTGAGGGGGAGGCCACCAGAACTACGCAGCAGCCTGCGAACTCTCCGCAACCACCACCACTACATGAAGCCAGTCAGGAGCAGGCAGGAGCCCAGCCACCAAGCCCGTTTCAGGCTGACGAGGGGGACGCCACGGCCAACAGTGATGAAGCAGAGACGTTGCCATGGTTACCACCACCAGCAAAACCACTGCAGCCATACGCAGGGAGAGTGAGGAGCCGGGCACCACGACGGAGGAGGAACTGCGAAGGGGGCACACCGCACAGCCCCGCGTACACAAAGCCCAGCCTTGAGCAGGATATAGCAGGACCAGGGAAACCCTGGCGGCGAATGCAGCGGCAGCGGAGGAGCACATCCTGCAGACCATGAATCTTGCCGAATCTTGCCGATGCCGTGACCAGGGATCGTATCTGACCTCGCGGCCACAGCCACGAGACTACAGCTGGAAAATCCGGAGAGCGGGACCACGCGGGGGGACCAAGCTCTGCCCACAAACGCCTATCCTGGACGACGAGCCCAGGCCGGGCAAATCCCGACGCAAGGTGTGGTCATTTGCAAGCGGGGGAGCAGGGGAAGGAAAGGCAGCGTCGCACTGCTGCCACTGTCGCCAACTAGCTTGTCATACTCCGACGTTTTGTGCCGTTTCTGCTTTGCTTTAGAGGTCCAGCAGACATGCCGGCAATAGCGCGAGAAGCTTCGGGGCGGGGTGGGCAGGTGCAGGCGGTGTTGCGCAAGGTTCAGTTCGGTGGGCAGGCAGGTCAGGTAAGAGGCAGGTACGGGTACAGTGCAGACTTGTTTCACGCACAGACCAAATGGACCGAAGCTTTCGACCGATCACAGGGCACATGGCTGCTGATGAAATCCGGTATTATTTTAAGGACCCTAAACTACGGGAATTATAAGTAGTATTTTCCTTATTATGGTTAATGCAAGATTTACATCATCAACCGCCAACGGAGGCCCTTTGTCCACCGGCAAGTGGGGTCACGGCGGATGACCCGAATGGAGCCTGGAGGTGTGGCATGGTCATGGTTCAGGAGGTGTGTTTTGGAGGACAGGGTTCACAGGCACATTCCCGAAAGGGGCCTCGCTGCTGGACAGACGCGAATCTTGGGGGTAGGCCTTCCGGCCAGGGTTCCTTCGGGGGGCCACACCTCTCGCAAGCAAGCAGGCAAGAACAGTGCCGTCGCCATTTGATGCCATCTATGCATTATAAAAACGTAGACGTAGCAACTCATTAGACCAAGACGACTGATTGCGCGCTTACTTCTACTCACTAAAGCTTCCCGGGACAAGCTCCAAACAGTCAGAGAAGTCCAGCCTGTGCACCGTGCACAGAAACTCCCGGCAAAAAAAAATAAAAAGAGGGAGGAAGAGACTGAGAGAGTGGTGCTACTATGCAAAGTTTGCCAGCCCTCTTTTGAGCCTGCACCGTGAGCCCAACAGCCAGCACGCGGGGCAGAGAGTCACTGGTCGCTTGGCGTGATTGCTACCTTTCAATCGGGCATTGTTGATTTTCCTCGGAGCAAGTGAGTGGACAAGCGTAGTGCAGGCAGCTGGGAGTTGTGTTGGCGACTTTTTGCGAGAGAGAGAAAGAGAGAAAGAGAGAGAGAGAGAGAGAGACATTCAGAAGCGAGCTGGTGG